GAGGGACCTGAGGCCCTCCCTCTCAGAGCCTCTGCCAATCTGGCATCACTTTGAAGTGATGGCCTTCTCACTCTACTCTAATTTTTCTTTCTTTCCTTCCTTCCTCCCTCCCTTCCTCCCACCTTTTCTATTTTTCTTCTTTTCTGTTTCCTTCCTTCCTTCTCTGTCTCCTTACTTTCTTCCTTTTTCTCTTTTTTGAGAGAAAGAGTCTTTTCTAATTTTTTTTTTTTTTAAGTAGGCTTCATGCCCAGTGTGGAGCTCAACATAGGACTTGAACTCAACTCATGACCCTGAGATCAAGACCTAAGCTGAGGTCAAGAGCTGGATGCTCAACGGACTGAGCCACCAGGCACCCCAGAAGACGGTATATTAAAAGGAGGCAGTCACAGAGTCCTGACTCACTTAAGGGCTGTTAATAAATTTTGGTAAAACACTGGGGCCATTTAGAAGCAACATGTAGCTGTATTTGTCTTTGAGACAAAGAACAGTGCATATTCTTTTGACTTCAATACCAAGCTAATGGCTAGATAACCGAAATTTTTGAAAATCCCAGCCTTTGTTGGGAGACCACAGATCAATGTGTAGGATCTCAGGAAAACTGAGCTTCAATAATCTTCACTCTAAACACACATGGCGACAGGGAGTAAGAATGCTCTTTATTGTGCAAAAAGCAGAAGTCTATCATTTTGCTTTCTTGATAGCCTAGCATAGTTAGAGGTCAAAACAGGAAGTGCCATTGTTAACAGGCAGAAACATGAAAGTTCTGTTCTTAAAAACACCTTCAACCTTCTTCCCCATGAGGACATTTTGAATGCAGGAACTCTGGGTGGGACCATATGGCTTCCTGTATTCTCTTTAATCAAAGTGGTAAAGTTTGTTTTTGTTTTAAAATGCAGTTAAAGGAAAGACATTTGTCGTGTCAGAAGCGAACAACATTCAGTTCCTTTTAGATTTTTATGAGCATCTGTGATCATTTGTCATATGTGGCTAAAAAATGACCAGTACTGATGAAATGCCATTTTATTTTTAGGGAAAACCCTCAGCACACTTTCCCAAAATAAGTTTTAAAAAAAAATCTCTGCTTCTTTCCAGGGACGTTTTGTTCATGGCTAAATGTGGGTACATACACTTTTATGATAAAGACCATCTTTTTGCCAAAATATACTGAGGTAAAAGGCTTAAATGCTATGGTCTGTGGAACTGATGATGTAGAACTCCATTTTCTAGGTTTCTTGTGCACAAATACTAATAATTCATTCTTGAGACATTTGGTTGGCTTGAAATAATATTTTAAACAAAGAGAAAAATGTCATGAACCTGAAAAATGAAGGGAAGCCCAGGAAACAAATAATACGGTAGATAGATATCTCGATCTCTGAACTTTCATTTCCAACCCTTCAAGTTTTCTCCCAGCCTATGTGTGATGGCAAATAAATATTCTAGAACAAAACTAATCATTCAAAATAAGGATAGGCATAATTTACTTTAGGTAGAATGAATCCAAGCAACTTTTTCTCTTTTCCTAGTGAAATAAGACTATTTCAAACAAGGATATACTGATATATTGAGGGAACATTTTCAGCCCAAATGCTTAATTTGAAGTTTGCCTTTATTAATAACCTGTCATCATACTAAAAATGCAACTTAATACAGTAACAGAATAACAGACAAAATCCTCAGGGGTGCCTGGGTGGCTCAGTTGGTTGAAAGTCTGACTTTAGCTCAGGTCATGATCTTGTCGTTTGTGGGTTCAAGCCCCACGTTGGACTTTGTGCTGACAGCTCGGAGCCTGGATCCTGCTTGGGATTCTGTATCTCCCTCTCTCTCTCTCTCTCTGCCCCTTCTCCCACTCAGGCACTGTCTCTCTCTCAAAAATAAAATAAATATAAAAAAAATGTTAAAAACCACAAAATCCTCAGATAATAGACTAGGGAATTAAGATAAAAAACCCTTTTCCATATCCAGATCCAGTCAAGGACTTGACAAAGAACCCCATTTTATGTATTTTTCATTGTGATTTTACATATATTTGAGTTTAGAGTTCCTTACATGTTTATTTCTGCATACAATCTGTGGAAAAATAAGTTTTGTTTTTTTAAGTAGGCTCCACCTCAATGTGGGGCTGGAACTCATGACCTTGAGATCAAGAGTTGCATACTCTACTGACTGAGCCAGTTAGGTGCCCCTGGAAAATAGGTTTTCTGATTTTCCTTTTGGAGAATATGAAATGACTGGCCATAATGGAAAATAAGAAATATTTTGCATAATTATCGAACTAGTCTAAGAATAGATGCTATTGTACCAAATCTCTTAATGCAGTCATCAACTGGATCTTTTTTTTCTACCACCAAAGTGTAAACGAGGTAGTTATAGGACCAAAATGAAACTTTCAAGAGGTCCCTTTATCACACATGTGTTATTGTAACTAAATGTGCTTGAAATTCTATTTCTCATGTGCAAAAACCAAGGGAAGCAACAAGAATTAGCAGAGTAGAGAATGGGAAAGTGATCATCCCAGAGTCTCAATGTTTCAGAGTCTGATGTGATCACAGGGCCATTTAGTTTAGCTCTCTACCTTTTTACTCTCCAAGATCCTGGTGTTTCTGTTTTGTTTCACAAGGGGAATTGTAAACTTAATAGGGTTTATTTATGCAGTTGGAATTTTGAAATAGAGGGTAAATTAAGAGGAAGGAAGATTTGATTGCTGGATGAAAGTTCTATTAGAAAACCGCGGGGTTCTTATAGAAAGAAATTAAAAAGCTTTAAAAAGTTGTACATTTAAAAAGTATTTTACAGGGGCGCCTGGGTGGCTCAGTCGGTTGGGCGTCCGACTTCAGCTCAAGTCGTGATCTCTCAGTCCGTGAGTTTGAGCCCCGCATCGGGCTCTGTGCTGACAGCTCAGAGCCTGGAGCTTGTTTCAGATTCTGTGTGTCTCTCTCTCTCTGACCCTCCCCCGTTCATGCTCTGTCTCTCTCTGTCTCAAAAATAAATAAAAACGTAAAAAAAAAATTAAAAAAAAGTATTTTACAATTTACAAACACTTTAGTCTTTTAAAAAATTTTTTAAAAATTTATTAGAGAGAGAGAGAGAGAGAGGGAGAGAATCTCAAGCAGGCTTCACACTCAGTGCAGAGCCCAACTTGGGGCTCCATTCCACGACCCTGGGATCATGATCTGTGCCAAAATTAAGGTGTTAGACGCTCAACCGACTGAGTCACCCACGCACCCCTACAAAACACTTTATTATAAAATTATTTCATTTACATATACAGTGAGGGAGCTCCAGGGTCTATTAGCAGAGCTTTGACCATAACCATGCATCCCGTTGCCTGGTCTAAGACTCTTTGCAGTTCTTCTTTTTGTTTCTCTCTCCCAGTATCCCTCTCTCCTCCTCCCCCTAACCCCAGTGATTGATTCCGAAACTTACTTTATGGATTCTTTTTTTTTTTTTTTTTTAATTTTTTTTTTTCAACGTTTATTTATTTTTGGGACAGAGAGAGACAGAGCATGAACGGGCGAGGGGCAGAGAGAGAGGGAGACACAGAATCGGAAACAGGCTCCAGGCTCTGAGCCATCAGCCCAGAGCCCGACGCGGGGCTCGAACTCACGGACCGCGAGATCGTGACCTGGTTGAAGTCGGACGCTTAACCGACTGCGCCACCCAGGCGCCCCTATGGATTCTTAACAATGTAGAAGACTAAAAATTTTTTGAGGGCAAATTTACTACTTACTAGTAAGTAAGTGTCCTACTTACTTTTGCATCTCTATCATCTAAGCCAACATAGTGTGTTTAGCTAATATTTGTTGAATGAATGAAATAAAACACAAAGACAAATTAAAACAGAACTGTCTTTTCAGATAGTAAATAAATGAAAATAGAAAATTAATATTATAGATTTTAGACAGCTATTCAGAATATCAAGTAATGTTATAGATGCTATGTATCATCTGATCTCTCTGTCATCTATCTTGTTAGCCTCATTCCAAATAGTACATTTTATCATTTGTTATTATTTAGAAGTTTTCAGGTCATTAAGTCATAATTAAAAGTTAGGAAGATTTGTCTTGTTTTATTGACCGCATAGAAGTTAGAATCTATTCTTCAGTAACATACGGTCTATTGGCATACAACAAACAAAAATGGTCATTGTCAATTATTTCTCAATAAAATGGGAAAAATGGTCATAATTACCTGTCACATCCAGGAAAGTATAAGACTGTGACCATTAACTTTTATTCTATTTACGTTAGTTTTCCTTATTTATTGCTGTTCTATTTCCTTTATGAATTTCACAGGTTCCTGAAAGCATCGACTGATCATTTTTATATTATTCCATCAGCCTGGCTTATCCATAATTAGATTGCAACTGGGAACTGGCCATGCTTAGAGAAAACAAGTTTTCATACACGTATTTTGTTCTGCCTGCATGTCTAGGTAAAGATCCTGGATGTGTTGAGTTTTATTTTATTTCTGCAAAGTCCCTATCAGTAAATATTTGGGTGTGTGACTTGGAGGAAAATTCAGAAAGGAAGAACTAATTTATTATTTATTTCAGACTTAAGAATCATTGAGGTCACGTCCTAGCAAGACACACGGAGAGAAAGGATCTCAAAGAACACCCAAATTTTACAAAACTAAATCCATACAACAAATAAAGAAGAAATATCCAGTATCCAATTTAGATTCTCTAGATCCACACCAAGGAAGAAAATACAGAAACGAATGGGCAAAGCTGTAATTTTGCCAGTTTATGTACTGCTGTTAGGAAACACTACACGATGCCATCTAGTGACAGGTGACCAACGTCTGATCAATCACATAGAAATGATGGGGTGAGGAGGTGAAACGCCCAGGATGTTGTCTGTAAGGAGAAAAATCCTTCTGAGAGAATCACATTCAAGAGATTAGTGTTATTTCTCCGGGTCCACAGAGTGTATGAAAATTTATCAGAAAGCGGCAGCGCGGGGATTTTTATTTTGAAATCCTGTATTGCCACCTACCTCCAAATCTGAACCTCCTCCTCCTCCTGCCGCTGTCTTTCACCATCCAGTCCGCAGCTGAGCTCAGAACCGAGGAGTGTCCTCAAGTCATAGCCCCCCGTAGAGTGACAGGTGGTGGAGGTGGAGCACCTTAGAAACCAGTCTCAAAAAAAAAAAA